GTAAACTCATGTATAATTGCATCCCTATTCAGCAAAGTAGTTGATCATACACTTTAAGTGCTTTGCTGAACTGGGGCTCTTGTTAATGTTCAGTTTTGAATTTCAACATAGCAAATGCAATATACCATATCCTCCTGTGACAAGCACATTGCAGAATAAAAATGGTATTGTAATGAATCCAAAAATTGCCTGAAAACATTCAGTGCTAGCAAAAGTTTATCTGGTATGATGTCATACCACGTCACACCCACCCACCTCCAAAAACAATTACAGGATTCTACATTTGTCACATATCTGTAAACAGAATAAATGAAGATGTAGGTTATGGGCAGGTGGTAGAAGAATTCAGCAAATCCATCAAGCACAGCACCCTCTGAAAACAATAAAATCTGTACTACAGAGAAACACTGCTCCTTAGGATTGCCCTAACCAGGAATAATTTGCACTAGGGAGCCAAATCACCTGAACTTTGTGAGCAGCTTTAGGAGCACACAAGGACCATCCCTACCTAACTGGCAAGGACTCCTCATCAATGCAAGAAGTTCAAAAGCTTCTGCTGTGTGCTTGTATATCCCAGCATACACCACTTTCCCATCTGCCCCAAGAAAAGAACTAGTGGTTAGGCTCTGTACAAGTTAATTTTTAGCCACATCTCTGCATTATAATGCTTTGAAATTGATTTTTTTTTTAGGAGAAGGCTACAGAATTAGTTTCTATACTAGTTTTTATGTAGTTTTTCACAAATTTCAGCACCTTCCATTGCATTATCCCCAAGTCACATCTTTTGGCTCCACAAAAGCTTGAAATGCTTTAAATGTCTGTTCTTTAGTTTCTTTTTTAAATAATCTATTCTTATATGGTGTTCCACTTTTCTTTCAAGGTATTGTGGCATTTCCATAGAGAGTGCAAATATTTACACATTGTGATAATGTTGTATTTTCTTTTCTTTACACAAACGTAATATGAAGGAAGCACATGGACACAGTGGGGTGCAAAAAATGTTTACTGATTGCATATAACATGTGAGTCCTAGCTACAGATAGACACTGCTGGTCTGGCAGGGTTCTGGTGACTTCTGCAACACACACAGTTGGGTTTGCAAGGCTTACGCTATGGTGCTAAAAATAGCCATGTGGATGTTCCTGCTTAGGTTGGAGCTCCAGGTCTGAAACCTGAGGAGGAGGGTGGGTCTCGGGGCATCCCACAGGAGCCTAACTTAATCCCTGTGGTTTTCTCCAGCCCGCCTTCACCTGCCCCAGCCCAGAGAGTGGGAACTTGCTTTGCTCTGCTTTCTTGGGTCTCCTCTCTCACTGAGTTCTCTTCCCAATCTGTATGGGTCTCCTGGACTATTTCCCAGCTGGGATCACTAATTGTAACTGAGTCACCAAATCAGAATTACCTGGGGGTTGACTGCTAGGTCACAGGCCAGGCTTAGCCTGACTCCCCTTAAAGGGCCTGGCAGTCTGTGACAATGGACCACCTGGCTGATCCAGTAGGGCAATTCCAATGTTTCTGCGTGGTTTTGGAAACCCCTAGAAACAGTCATGTTTTTGGGGAAATGGTAAGCTGATCTTTATATATCGTGAATATGTAAGAAAACAATAAAGCCAAACCCCAAGAAGGGGATAAATGCCTTTTATTTATGGTCTAGCTTGAAGATTTTTTCCTTCTCCTTTTATTATTCAGTGAAATAAGATATTTAAACTACTTAAATATTTTCTTTGGTAGTCTCTACAGATCTTTTTTCCATATGTAATACATCAGTTTTGCTTGTCATTTTGTCTTATAAATGAAAACTGTCTTTAGTTAAGATCGTGTATAACAGACACAGCAATATCTTTGAAAATTAAAAAAATTAAAGCTGCTAATGAGTCACCAGTGCAGTAAATTGCAACTAATTTCTTGCTGTGTTTAGAATAATAGTGTAAAGTCTGGCCAGGAATTTGAAAAACAGGAAGTAGAGCAATTACACAAGGATATTAGGCAACTGAAATATTTTAGCATTGAGGCACTGCTGGCAATTCCATTGTGCACATGAGAGTTGTGACTCCATTGTTAAAACTCAGTTCTGTTTTACAAAGAACACAGGGATTGAACCTCTTTGTTTTCTGTGGAAAAAATAGAGGATGTTCTCTCCAAATTTACAGCACTTTGAGTACTGAATATATTTTCTGAGATTTTACAAATAAATCCATTTAGTAGCTTACAATTAAATTAATTAAAAATATGCTCTTTAACAAATGTAGTATTCATTAATTCATCTTCACTGATTTTAAGGCTAGATTATGATGATCTAGTCTGACCTCCTGCACAACACAGGGCACAGAATTTTTACTCAATGACTCCTGCATCAAGCCTATAAATTAAGCCCACAGTTTTAACTTTACAGGTCACTGATACCACAAGAGGAAAAAATATGAAAAAACTGAAAGTGTCTTGAAACAGTTTAATCTAATCTGGGACCGTGGATGCTAAAATGCCTTAATTATAATCAGATGATTATTGCATGGCGTCACTGTCACAACTGGCCACAATAAAGATTGTCTGTAGGACTGGACAAAGGATAGAAATTCCATTTCACAAAAGATTTTGAGATTTTGGCTTCATTTTGAATTGGAGAAAAAAAACCTGAATACTTTGAAGTTCTCTGCAATGGAAAATGCTGAAAAAAATTGTTTTGCGATCTACTGAAACATTGAGTTTCGACAACATTGAAATGTTTCACTATTGGTTTTTATTTTTTATTTTGCACTGGAATATACAATATAAAATTTTAAAAAATCAAATTGAAAAGTTGTTTCAAAGCCAAAAAAATCAAACTATTTTGTTCCAAAAAGGTCAAAATAGGATGTTTTCACATTACTGGAACTTTTTTTTTTTTCCCTTTTGAAACAAAATTTCAGTGAAATTAACTTGATTAGTGAAGTATTTCAATTTCAGTCTCTATTTTTCCAACAAGCAATAGTTGTCTGAATGCCTTAAATGTGCATTTTTTAACTTAACATGTTCACATATATTTTTAATGTAAACTTAACACTGAATTTTCTGGGTTTATAATGCTTGGTCTGGAGATAATTGCACCATCACTGTCATATTTTTTTAACCTTTAATCTTAAATTAAGGTTACATACTCTTATCCATAACTCCATTTTAACATCGTTTTTTGCCTTGAAATTTTAAACTAAAGAGACTGATTCCACCTATTTTAACAGAGCTCCTGGTTTAAGGATATTAAGTTGCCAGCATTACACCATCAGAACAAACTCAGTAGATGATCAGTGCACTTTAGGGCAGGACTTGTTCAGAAACTTCTAAGAGGTGATAAGCCTTTCTGTGAATATTACATACACTAAACACCTTCCTAATACTCTGCAAATGTTCACTAACCAAAGAACAATGAAAAATAAAGTCACATAATATTTCATTTCTTCTATAGATTTATCTGGAAGCATCTTAATTCAAACATTAGATGTAATATTCTCAGGCATCGGTGGCTGAGTACAATCTTATGGTTTTGTTCAATGACAATGATTTTGTATAATTTAAGTATCATTTGTGTTATTTTTGGAAAGAATGTCCTTTATCCTTTCTTGTAAGTATGTTCCTCTTATCTCCTGCCCTATCTTCTTTGAAGAGTACAGCTTATTCCTGAAGAAAGGACATTTTCTGAATTTTGCTTGGGGTGCCTCTGTGTCTACAGGAAAACTGGAAAGATCATCTGCCCTCCCATGTTCTAAAGAGGATTAATATTGAATGTCATAAAGATATCTGACCAATATAAAATATCATCACAGCAGTAGAGCAGCTGCAAAAGAAAGTACCTCAGTTTTGTTCCTTGTATTTTAAATAAAGGTTTATGGTCAATTGTTAAAATAATATTTCTACCGTATAGGTCATGACAAGCTATAATCAAAATGTCGCACTGTAATCGTGGTTGCCATAAGTGTACATATGTTCTTACCTTATGCAACTCATTCTACCTGAGGCTGACAAAGTAACTTACTTGGAAACTCCATAATTTTGCAGCATGCAGTAGACCTCTTTCTTGGCAGTACTGACCAATAAGCTCCATTGGTTCCCTGTTTAATTGTAGACTCAAGCCTGGTCTATACATGGACTTCCATCAGTTTAATTAAATTAGATTAGTTAATTGGATACAAACCCCTGTGTGGATGATTTTTATTTTGCTTTTAGAGTGGCTAACTTTGGCTTAACTAAAACCTGTTCCTACCTGACTATAAGTAAACCAAAATGAGTGTCCACATGGCCTTTTGCACTGGTTTAACTAGATCAATTTAAAATCACACCTTACTTAACTTGTGAAACTCTGCATAAAGACAAGTCCTCAGTTTAAAATCCTAGTCCTACTCTAAAGTGGACTAGCTATCTTAGAGATCATCTTTCCACTGAAATCAATGGACTATCACTTGTGTAAAGTTAAACATGTGTGACAGTATTTGCTGGATTGGTGCCTGCAATAGTTTACAACCAAGCTTGAAAATAGTTCTAGAATACTTGCGTAAAATGAACTTCTTTTGGGTCTAGAGAGGACTGGAAGAAAATTCTGTAGTAGGCTACAATCAGGAAATGTATAATAATTGATGACAAAGAAAACATGTATGCTCAGAAAATCATAATAGACCACAGTTCTGATTAGATGCTGCTCTACACAGGCAGCTTTCAATAAATAAAAAATATATAATTTCAAAATTTAGAAGTGCAGTTACACTTCAGACTGGAACCATGGACCAAACCCTGAGAGGTTCTGAGCACCTGCAAGTTCCACTGGCTTCAACAGCAGATGCAGGTGCTCTGGACTGCTCAGAATTTGGACCCAGATTTGTGAAAATCCTGGCAAAAGAAGTAAAAGAATCAGTGTTAAAACGTACAGAATAATTCACAGAGAACATACATATAACGTGCTAAAAATTATCCCTTTTGCACAAAACATAAACCTGTTTGCAAGAGCTTCTTAAGCTAGAGAATTTGAAGTTACTTACTGTGCAAAGTGTCTCAAATGTCTTTTCAGAGACAAAGGATCCATCAAGGCCAAAAAGAAAAATAGAGGCATAGGAAAGCATCCCCCCAAGGATAATAAGGTTGTTCATGTAGGGACTGGACATCTTTATTAGCCTACAGACAGACGCAGACGGTGCATTAAATAGAAAAAGACAACAGTTAGATGACTCAAAGCATAATGAACAGTTTCCTATAAAATTAATTAAACAGATGGCCGACCCCACTTGTGGAATTCCACTGGAAATCTAGAAACATGCAAATTAATTGTGCTTTCAAAAAAGTCTGGATAAGCATATTGATTGTTAAGGGTTTTGATCTTCTCTGCTAAAGCTACTCCCTAATTTACACATTGGTTAATTAGCTAGGGTTTATGCTAATAACACAGTGGAAAAGATTAATTTTTCAAACAGAATAAAAGGATTTGATCGAATGGATAGTTAACATCTTTCAATACAAAGCTGTTGTATAGTAACTTCAATTAAAACAAATAACATTTTAAAAATATGGTCTTCCCGATGTGATGTTCTCTTCACATGATTTTAGTGTCCACAAATGTGATACTTAAATATGAAAAAAAAGAAAAGGAAAAAGATAATGTACATTTCTTACTTCTGATTTCTGTTTTTGATGTTAAAGAACAAAAAAGCACTGGCCATGATCATTCCTAGGATAGTAAGTGCTGAAAGAATACTGTAGAGAGGCAAGGAGATCTTGCGCAGCTGTTCTTGTATAATCGTTTTGTCCTTTGGAGGCTCCAATCCTAAAATTTCAAGAATAAAAATTGGCTAAAGCCCACATAAAGACTGAATTCTTGTGAAAAAATATATCCCTTCTATTACCCCCAGAAGATCTAAAGACAGTGGGCCATATTCATCCTTGAGATAAAGCCATTTACTTCAACGGAGATATACCAGATAGTGAAGAAAAGTTTGGACTTCTGAAATGATATAATACCCTGTTGGAAGGAGAAAGTCCCAATTCAAGAAAGCTTTAAGCATGTGCTTAAGTCCATCCTTATTCAGGAAAACAAATAAGCACTGCAACACACATGCTTAAATGCTTTTCTGAATTGGAGATGACGCAAGTAGTCACAGGCTAAGAATATTCTTTCCTAGTCTACTTTTATTTACAGCTAGTCAAACCCTAAAATCCTTATTAGGGTTCCAGTAAGTCCTTATTCAACTGAAATCACTAGCAATTTGCCCAAGTTAAAACGAAGTGAGTACTTCAAAATTTGGCCCAATATTTTGTCATCAAGCAAGGATTGACCAAAGAGCAAAAACAGCAGCAAGCCGTTACAGCCCCTTTGTGCTACCATATGTTTGGGGAAGAATATGGCCTTAGGTGTGTTAACTCTACCGCAAACAAATTCAAATCTATGTTTTAGAACATACAATTGGGTTGTCAGTCAAAGTCATTACACCCAACCCCAGCCAGCTTCCATGCCATTTGGGGGCTACCTGGCTTAAGAAAAAGAGTAATTTTGAGACTGTAACAGTTCTCTATATTTCCACTTCAGCTGATATTCATCTGTGTGCAGAGGGATTGTGAAAGGCTCTCCACATTACTTAAGCCACACAGAAGGGGTTCGTGCCTGATTATCTCTTCACAATGGAAAAGGTTTCCATGTCACTTTCATAGAGGGCAGTGTGAAAGGTTAACTTGACTTTGCCTCCTGACTCAGACCTGGAAACCTAATCTGGACTCTGATCCTTGGTATCAACCCTGGTCTGGACCTGACTATGAATTCCTCAGCTATTCTTAGCCTCAAGTTTGCCCCTGCTCTGTCCTTGTGGGGATTGTGATAGTAAGTTTCATTCTTGGATATGTTCCTGATACCTGGAGGTGAATTGGTAACAAGGTGGCATGGTTCCAACATGCAGCTTTGGTCACTAAAAAATTCTTCCTGCAAAAATGAAAATGGTTGATCCAGACCAAATATTGATGCCTGGCTCAGTGATGTGGCTGACCTTGCAGCTAATGGATGACTGGCATTCCACAGAAGGGGAATGCCCAAAAAAATCAAAGCAATTTGGGTTGACTTTTTAAAGCCCATTGATTAATGCAGCCCCTGAAGATAGATATGTTGCTTCACTTCCTTCCCTTTATCTTAACCTTTTCTTTCTTTCTTTGTGTATTATGATGGATCCTGTATATTTGTATTTGAAAAAAAACAATAAAAATGTGAAAAAGCCCATTGCATGTAAATAAGGCTGTGTGTCTGTCACGGAAGTCATGGATTCCGTGACTTTCCGTGACCATTGCAGTGGCCAGTGCTGTTGGCTCAGGGGCTGTCCAAACACTCAAGCAGCCACATGGTCAGCAGCAGTTTGGGTGTGGGAGGGGCCTGAGGGCTGAGTCGGGGGTTGGGATGCAGAGCGGTGCTTACCCAGGAAGTGGCCGGCGTGACCGTGCAACTCCTGACCTCCCATTGGCTGCAGTTCCCAGCTAACGGGAGGTGCGGAGCCGGAGCTCGAGGCGGAGGCAGCGCGCGGAGCCACCCTGGCCTTCCCTCCCCCTAGGAGCTGCAGGGACATGTGGAGCTGGGTAGGGAGCCTGAAAGCCCCGCCAACCCCCTCCCCCCTCCCCCCGCACTAGCAGGGGTCCCAGGCCGCACACTGCCACCTCCCCCGGCCCACAGCACCAGCGGGGGTCCCAGGCCGCCCCCCAGCACCCACGGCACCCCCAGACCACTCCCGCCCAGAGCACCTGCAGCCCCCTGGCCCAAGATTTAGCCAGGGGTATAGTAAAAGTCATGGACAGGTCACAGACCCTGAATTTGTGTTTACTGCCTGTGACCTGTCCATGATTTTTACTAAAAATACCCATGACTAAAACATAGCCTTACATATAAACACAATGTCAGGGACAATCCCTGCCCTACATACTTATCTAAATCTAAATAGTCAAGACAGAGGAAGGATGGGCAAAATGAATTTTAATACCCTTATTTTACAGATGGGGAAATGAGATTCAGATACACTGAGCTCCTTGTCTAATATCTAGGCTGACCAGATAGCAAGTATGAAAAATCGGGACAGGGAGTGCGGGGTAAAAGGAGCCTATATAAGAAAAAGCCCCAAATATTGGGACTGTCCCTATAAAATCGGGACATCTGGTCACCCTATCTAATATCACACCACAACTCCAAAACACAACCAAGAGTTGAACCCAACTTTCCTGAGTCCCAGTCACAAGACTATTCTTCCTCCCATAGGCCTTCATCTTTTAAAACAGTCTCAGTGGTTGAAACCTGCCCACGCAGGGTGCAGCAAACTCTTAATCCTGTTTAGCCACAACTGAGTTTGTCAACTTTTGTGAAACGTGGTTGTTTTCATTTAGTAGATAGGGTTAGAGATGGATTAACACACTATTTTACCATAACCACACTTCTAACTGCTGACTTAAAAAAGAAGGGCATAAGGGGGGAGGGGGTTGAAACCCTCCACCCCCCTAAAGACACAGTTGGCACATCCCATCAAATTTCTTACAGGATAAACCATCATTACTCCCTAAACCGTTCCAAGACAGTTAAAAAAAACAAGCATGAAGCATACAGATATATTTCTATGATTTCATAAGAAAATTAACTTGGAAAAATATTTTTAAACACTGAATACATTTCCCAATGGGCCACCAGTATTGAGCTGATCAAGTGGTGTAGATATTATATGAGAGCTTTTATAGAAGCAGCTGGTTGGTCTTGTATCCTGTGATGCTATGCCTAACCCATCAGGGAGTGGATCCTGGGAGCACTCCCTTGGCAGAATCATCCTTGCACCAGTGCTGAGCCTGGCTCAGGAGCTGAAGGGGGGCAGCCCGTGTCTCCCCTTTCCCAGGGCTTCTAGGATCCCACCTCAACTCAGGTGAGAACAGCCCTGAAGGTTACCCTAACTTGTGTCCTATGTGAAATGGCCCCAGTAGGCTGCTGCACCATTGTAGAATACCTGGGGCACAGTAATGGTCAGTTCATGCTCTATCTCTTGCCAACTCACCCCTGGAACACACCTGTGCGGGCAACTGCTGCAAAGGTCTATGCCTGCTCTGCACTACCTCTGAGTACTACCTCTGAGACCCTATACTGGGGATATGCCCTGTAGGGGCCTTATGACTACTTTGCAGCCATTTTATACTAGCTGGGCTGGAGCAACACACCTGAGAATTCCCCCCTCAGACTGCAAATCTTTTGCAGAACTTTAATTCAGGAGTTATATATTTACCCGAAGGGCGATGTTCTTCACAAAACTAAGCAGGCAATAAGACAAAAATACAATAAAGAACATATCTGAATGAGAGAGGCTTACATTAAAGGACACCATCCTCAAAATCTACAGTAACTAAATGACTGCATAGAGCACATTGGGTATTTGTATCAGTATTAAACTGAAACAACCAATGGTCCTATAAGATTTATTTTTCACATTTGCAGAATGGAAATGCAATTTAATAGCTGTTAACTTTATGATTGTTTATACTGTATGCATTCTATACAAAAGCTTTGGGCCAGATCCTGTACTCTTGATTTTCTGAGACAGAAAGTAGCACCAGCTTCCCAAAAGCCATAAAGGGCCATTCCAGTAGCCAGGGATTGCACGGATATAGGGACACCTTGGCCACACAGCTTCTGCTGGGGTGCTGGGAAAAGAAGGGTGTGGCAGTTCTGTATCACCCAAGCAATCCCTCATGCTGGGGGAATCTTTAATGGATCCTTTAAAACGAGTTTAATGCTGCTTTGTGCTGCCAGACCAGCATAAAGAAATTTTAGCAGGGCCCGAGATCTGGCCCTTTATCTGTACCTATCAGGGGGTAGCCGTGTTAGTCTGTGTCCACAAAAACAACAAGGAGTCCAGTGGCACCTTAGTCTTTAAGGTGCCACCGGACTACTTGTTGTATCTGTACCTAGTTATACATGCACACAACTATTATCTGTGTGAAAAAAGAGACCCCTTATTCATTTCTGTAAGTTTACTGAAGACAATAAAATGACAACTGGTATCTTCATGAAGTTACAAAGACTAAGAGAAATGTAACCTCCTCTTTCTATACTCACACATCATGTTAGTGAGACTGATTGTTGGAGGTGACATAGGAATGAAATTAAAGCATTTTGGATTTGTGAACATGAAAGAGAAAACATATTCTGAAACCCACTGAAATAATGAAGAATATCCATTTTCACAGATCATTTATGATTAGCACAAGATGTCGAAATGAGAAATACTAACACAATATAATCATTCAGAATGTTGCTACTTTCTATTTAGAACTCTCCTTTTGTAGCTTTTAAGAGCTTGCGTGACATAATAAAATATCAAGCATGATAGACTGGCCCTAATCCCCTCAGCATATGATTTTATAACCATTTTTTTCAGTAACAGAATAATAAAACGTGTCTGTATAAAGCATGAAGTCTGAACTATATAGCAATCCATATAACTGTTGTGCATTTTTTCCATTTCCTGTCCTACCTTGGAACCTGATGGTGTTGTTGATTATTTCCAGTGTATCAGCTACAGCATTATACTCTCCCACCTTCACTTCCTTTCTATCTGCAGAGAAACAAACAAGTAGGGTTGTTTATGTCAGTTCACATCTTCTCAATAATGTAACTGTTTCCCTTTCTTGTTGTTGCTATATTTATATTCAAGATACCACAGAAAATGATTCAAAGAAAATAAATACACATAAGGAGTATGAATTATTAAAGCAGAGTGCCAGATTTGATCTATATTCGTATAAAAAGAAACATTTTTGAACTTTTAGAGAAATACAAAGTTACATTGGACAATGTGTCTATTAAGTCATCATTCAATACTAATTTTCATAAGTAGCAAACTATTCTACTTTAGAATGAACATCTTTTCTAATCCCAGATTGGTAAAATTAAATACTGGTTTGGAGTCAAATTACCACCTTTACTCATGCTGAATAGTACCCTTCTGCTCAAATAGTCCATTTAAACAAATAGGATTGCTTGCTGAATGAGGTATTTCTCAGAGGGAGTAAGGATGGCAGATTCACACCCTTGATGAGCAGAGTAGTTAAAAGAGCAACTGGGAATTTGATATCTGAATCTTATTGTGAATTAATAATTCATCAATACTCTTATTTGAAAACATAACCCATGAATTTATTGCCAAATTCTATAGGAGCTAGAATATTTGGGTCCCACCTTTCGATAGGTAACCTGGGTTTACAATTACATACACAGACCTATTGTTTCTCACATAAATAATTTGATACAGTACCTTAATATCTCTGGCTATCTATTCTTCATATCATCCCTATTGCCACAGTATTTTGAACTTGTACCTTATATGGTGTATGTTTGTTTCAGTCTACTGTTAGTGTTTGACAGGAATTTTCTATTTGACATAAGCTTTCTTGCTATTAATAAACTTGTGCACTTCTCCACTTAAACTTACCATTTTACTCTCTTCCTTTTACTTTTTGATCATAAGCATTCAAACCATCAATATCTGAAATACAGAATTCTCAAATAGCCTTGAGGCAGAGTCTATGGTTTTAAAAATTCTTACTTTTCCCTATAACTTGTGGTTATCCATTTTCCTATTTTTTTAATATTAGACCTTATCATATAGTGGTCAGCATCACTCAGTTGAGATTCTAGGCTTGCCTTCTTTATTAACTCCTGCATCTGACTTAAGACTCAATCAAAAACTAACAAGATTCAAAGGTTTTCTCTTTATAGCAGGAAATGAATGACAAAATTAAGAGCATCAACGCAAGCAGCACATCATAGAATAGCAAGACTGATCTATTAACATCAAAGGTGCAAAAGGTGGCACAGAAACTAGGAGAATTTGAGTGGGTTGTTTCTACATTTTCCTACAGTCTGTAAGAACACAAACAAAAATTATCCATGGTAAAAAACTTACCTCTGCACACTACTAAGAAAACAAATAAAACTATTAGAAACTAAAAGAAAACAATTAGCTGGACCACAAAAATTGTACCCTACACTGTTTTGAGCACTTGATCCCTGAGTTACTCAAACTAAATATTCATGTTGATCCTATACATGATTGACGAGGGTCACCCTTCTTCTCATGTCCTTGCACCAGAATCGTAGTTTTTACCCACGTTGGATACATGATATGTCCTGGTCTGTAGCCCTGGCAAGATTTTCCACGGTGCATAGCTTCTTCAGGAGCTGTTAGATCAACAGACGTTCCATAGTTTGTATTTCACTGCAGTCAAATGTACCTGGGTCATTTGAATAGTCGCACTTCTGCATGTTGACTTTTAACCTGCCAACTCTTGTGTGGTGGCAATTTAAACATCTTCAGGTCGAACAATCCTCCTTTGTGCCTGCTGGAAGGTGTTCAGCAATGTGAATGTGCAATTTGGTGTCCTCATCAAGTATTTCAAGCTATGTGCACCACATTTCCAGTCGTGTAGCCATCGGCGATTTTTTACATGGTTTCCTTGCATGGGAGCTTTTCTGAGATTTCAGGCGGCTAATTGCTGTGGCATGGCAATGTAACAGCTGTCTGGAATCTTCGACCTGTCGTAATCGTTCTGTTTATGATACAATACTCCCTGAGCATGGTATTGCCTGGCGTTCCACACCGGGTGATTATTGTAAGAATATATTATCTCACTCAAGTCCATCAAGGCCACTGTAGCCTAGAGTGGGAAAGTGGCCTCTTTCCTCTGAAATTATTTAAGAGACACATTTTTCCCGGTAGCCAGTCCATTAGCCATATATTTACATTAAAAATAAATCATCCACTCCTCAACCTTCTATGGAAGAAGTGGCACAGGTACAGATGTTGGAAAAGGATTCCTTCCTATATTGCAGCTGTGGATAGGAATGTTTGAAAGAGCTCTGATCATATAGAGCCATAGCTAGTTGTTTTTATTGTATTTATAGAGAGCAATCATATCCCTCTCAACCTTCATTTTGGTAGGCTAAACAAGCCAAGCTCTTCCAGTCTCCTCTTATAAGATAGGTCCTCTATACCCCTGATCATCCTTGTAGCTCTTCTCTGCACCTGTTCCAGCTTAAATTAATATCCGTCTTGAACATGAGTGACCAGAATTGTTCACAGTATTTCAAATGAGGTCTTACTATTGCCTTGTACAATGGCATTAATACTTCTCTATCTCTACTGGAAATGTCTTGCCTAAAACATCCTAGGATTGCATTTGCTTTTTTCACACCTGCATCACACTAGTGGTTCATAGTCATCCTGTGATCGACCCACACACCCAGGTCTCTCTCTTCCTTTGTCAATTCCTACTGACAAGCCCCCAGCTTGTAGCAGAAATTTTCATTATTAGACTGTAAGTGCATGACGCTGTACTTTGTACTATTGAATTTCATCGCATTTCTGTTACTCCAGTCTTCATGATAAACCAGATCTTTCTGTATAATATCATGATCCTCAGAATTGATAGAATCATAGAATCATAGAATATCAGGGTTGGAAGGGACCTCAGGAGATCATCTAGTCCAACCCCCTGCTCAAAGCAGGACTGATCCCCAACTAAATCATCCCAGCCAGGGCTTTGTCAAGCCTGACCTTAAAAACCTCAAAGGAAGGACACTCCACCACCTTCCTAGGTAACCCATTCCAGTGCTTCACCACCCTACTAGTGAAAAAGTTTTTCCTAATATCCAGCCTAAACCTCCCCCACTGCAACTTGAGACCATTACTCCTTGTTCTGTCATCCGCTACCACTGAGAATAGTCTAGATCCATCCTCTTTGGAACCCCCTTTCAGGTAGTTGAAAGTAGCTAACAAATCCCCCCTCATTCTTCTCTTCTACAGACTGAACAATCCCAGTTCCCTCAGCCTCTCCTCATAAGTCATGTGTTCCAGTCCCCTAACTATTTTTGTTGCCCTCCACTTTTTCCTCATCCTTCTTGTAGTGTGGGGCCCAGTACTCCAGATGCGGCCTCACCAATGTCGAATAGAGGGGAACAATCACAACCCTCGATCTGCTGGCAATGCCCCTACTTATACAGCCCAAAATGCCGTTAGCCTTCTTAGCAACAACGGCACACTGTCGACTCATATCCAGCTTCTCGTCCATAGTAACCCCTACGTCCTTTTCTGCAGAACTGCTGCCTAGCCATTCAGTCCCTAGTCTGTAGCAGTGCATGGGAGTCTTCCATCCTAAGTGCAGGACTCTGCACTTATCCTTGTTGAACCTCATCAGATTTCTTTTGGCCCAATCCTCCAATTTGTCTAGGTCCCTCTGTATCCTATCCCTACCCTCCAGCGTATCTACCACTCCTCCCAGTTTAGTATCATCTGCAAACTTGCTGAGGGTGCAGTCCACGCCATCCTGCAGATCATTAATGAAGATATTGAACAAAACCAGCCCCAGGACCTACCCTTGGGGCATTCCGCTTGATACCAGCTGCCAACTAGACATGGAGCCATTGATCACTACCCATTGAGCCCAATGATCTAGCCAGCTTTCTATCCACCTTATAGTCCATTCATCTAGCCCATACTTCTTTGACTTGCTGCAAGAATACTGTGGGAGACCGTATCAAAAGCTTTGCTAAAGTCAAGGAATAACATGTCCACTGCTTTCCCCTCATCCACAGAGGCAGTTATCTCGTCATAGAAGGCAATTACATTAGTCAGGCATGACTTGCCCATGATGAATCCATGCTGACTGTTCCTGATCACTTTCCTCTCCCCTAAGTACTTCAGAATTGATTCCCTGGGGACCTGCTCCATGATTTTTCCAGGGATTGAGGTGAGACTGACTAGCCTGTAGTTCCCCAGATCCTCCTTCTGCCCTTTTTTAAAGATGGGCACTACATTAGCCTTTTTCCAGTCATCCGGGACCTCCCCCGATCGCCATGAATTTTCAAAGATAATGGCCAATGGCTCTGCAATCACATCCACCAATTCCTTTAGCACTCTCGGATGCAGCGCATCTGGCCCCATGGACTAGTGCTCGTCCAGCTTTTCTAAATAGTCCCGAAGCACTTCTTCCTCCATAGAGGGCTGGTCGCCTCCTCCCCATGCTCTGCTGCCCAGTGCAGTAGTCTGGGAGCTAACCTTGTTCGTGAGAACAGAGGCAAAAAAAGCATTGAGTTCATTAGCTTTTTCCACATCCTCTGTCACTAGGTTGCCTCCCTTATTCAGTAAGGGGCTCACACTTTCCTTGACTTTCTTCTTGTTGCTAACATACCTGAAGAAACCCTTCTTGTTACTCTTAACATCTCTTGCTAGCTGCAACTCCAAGTGTGATTTGGCCTTCCTGATTTCACTCCTGCATGCCTGAGCAATATTTTTATACTCCTCCCTGGTCATCTGTCCAATCTTCCACTTCTTGTAAGCTTCTTTTTTGTGTTTAAGATCAGCAAGGATTTCACTGTTAAGCCAAGCTGGTCACCTGCCATATTTACCATTCTTTCTACACATTCGGATGGTTTGTCCCTGTAACCTCAATAAGGATTCTTTAAAATACAACCAGCTCTCCTAGACTGCTTTCCCCCTCATGTTATTCTCCCAGTTTCTTATCCACTTCACAATTCTTGTACTAATCCCCATCTTTT